TGGGCCCATTAATCATGCAAACGGATCACGAATGCCTATGAATCACGTATAGGAAGCAATAGGCCCAACACTCACACCCTTATTGTATTTCGTTTGTTTATTATAGTATGGTTCGTTTAGTCGGAAAATTCATTCATACAATTATAAAAATCTAGTGTTTGTTATAATGTTATTTCTAGCGTGATACGTCGAAATTTTGTAGTTTTTGGCTTGTTTTTACATAAAATGTCGTTTTTGGCCCATTTTAATTGGAAATAACATTTTAGTCCATCAATTTATAAAAAATTGCATTTTCGCCCCAAATGTTTAGTGATTTACGGATTTGGCCCAAAAATACATATTTTGCCATTTTCGACCCATTTTTGTAGAAAAATACATTTTCAGCCCCTTAATTTCATAAAATGACATTTTCGGCCCATTTTTGCAAAACTAACATTTTTGGCCCAAATTTTGATATAAGTGTCATTTTTAGCCCCTAATCTCGTTTATTCTCATTTTGGCTCAAGTTTTTTATTAAATAACATTTTAATCCCCAGAGATTGATATTTTTTCAATTTTGGGCCCAATAAGCCGTGAGCCCATATTAAGGCCTAAAATACAATATTTTACACTTATGACCTTTAGGAAATTATAGTTATTATAAAAAGTCATTTTTAAGTTAAAAATACCCCTTTTAGCCCCTATAAAACCGTGGGTGTCACTCTTGACCCCAAACTTTTTTTTATTTGCCAAAAATGATTTTTACAAATGATATTGTTTTGTTTTTCACAACTTAGGCATTTATGACACTTTTAACTTTGTAGTATGATGTTTAGGGTGTTTTTGTTTAAGAATCTCACTTGTTTTTGTTAGACTTTTATAGATCCATCGATTTTAGCACACAAACACAACAAGATTCAAGAAAAATCACACATAACATGCATAAATGTATAGATCTACACATACATACTTGTATTCTCCCCCAAAAACATGTAAAAACCGAAAACAAGGGGGGGTATGAACTCATCTTTTCTTTGATGTTTAGGTTTTGAAGAAGAAATGGAAGAAGTTTATGTGATTTTTGGCTCTAGCAAGCTCTTTGAGTGGTTTTCGAATTTAGGTGGTTCTAATGAGTTAGAACATGAAAGAAGGTTATGTAAGAAAGAATTCTTAGCATTAAGATGGATAATATGTGTTTATACATGATAAACACTTACCAAGAAGTTGAAACCTTGAAGATTACTCTTGAAATACAAGCAAAACTTTGAGATCTTTGATGAAAGAAAAGGATGATTTTAAAGATATTTTGGAGAGAATTTTTTTAGTGTGTGTGTTGCTAGCCTACTCTCGGCCGAAGATAAGAAGGGAGGGAAGAAGAGTGCATGGAAACATGAGATTTTGTCTAGTTGTATGTTGAACAAATACTTAGTTATCCTTTAAACAAAAATGAGGTGGCATGGTTAAGATTAATTATCCATTTTCTTTCTTTCTTATTTTTTTTTAATCTTGGGTGAGAATGGGCTAAAGAGAAAGGAGGTGGATTAGCTTGGCCTATTTCTAGCCTTGGTTCGAAATTATGAGGCCTAGTAATTACTTTTCGGCCCATTGGGCCTTTAGGGTAATTCACGGCCCAAATGACATATAAGAATGGGTTTTATGGTCCATTAGGGTTAATTGGATCAATTTTGGCCCAATAAGGCCCATTAAGGGTTAGAATGAATCATTCTAGGCCCAAATGGTCCAAAATGTTATAGATTTATGAATTGAGTCCATTTAGAATCCAAATAAGGTTTCTAAGCCCAATGTAGTTGAATTGAATGCTTATTGCTCCATTAGGCCTAATAAAAAAATCCTAGTCCATAATGAACTTGAACCTGGATCTCTAGGGTTTTCAACTCCCCAATTGACTATTTGGATGCTTTGTGTAGATTTTTGAACTTTACTTATGAATCTTGATTAAGTTTGTGGTCATAGAGTGAACATAGTGTATGATATCAAGTTAGAGTTACAAGTATTATCATAGATGACGTTTACATGATCACAGGATTTCCTGACAAAAATGCCAGTTGTGACACGTTAAAAGGGTTACAATTGGTTACTTACAAGACCAAAACCATCTGAACAAGTTTATGACTCAAAAAATGGGTTTTTAGGGGTGTTTGGCCTGTTACGGGACGCGAACCACATGGTTAGGCATGCGGCCCACACATAGACATCAAAGTGCCCAACTATACTAAAAATCTGAAGTTTAGTATTTTGCTCATAACTTTTGCATATGGACTCGGACTTACGTGAAATTTTCGCCTACATTCATATTTTTTTCATAAAGAATGAGTTAAAGGAATAAAATTTATTATTGGAAATTTTGAGGGTATTTTAGTCATTTTCATTAACATTTACTTACTTGTTATATAGGTGGTGTTTGAGAGTGTTGCTCAAAGGAAATGAACTAGAAGATGACTAGCTAGCCTTCGTGTGATTAAGGTGAGCACGTATTAGCATTTTCACACTTTGTGTTGCATGACAAAATGATTTTATGATAGTGAAATACAATGATTTGATATATGAAATGTGTTGATATTGAATGTGTTAAATGTTTTTGGAATGAATGTTTTGAAAAAAATGCTTTGAAGGCAACAATGTTTTTTAATACAAAAATGTTTTGGAAGAATAATTGTTTTGATAACGTGTTTGAAATGTTTTGAAAATATAGATGCTTTACTTTTGAAATGAGTATTTTGATACTAACGGATGAAATGTGTAAAACATGGAAAGTAATGACAATAAATTGAAAGTAATGAAAACAATCGAAAATTAATGAACGAATATATTGGTTGTGCCATGATGTCTCCATAACATGATATAGAGGAATCTATCGGGGTGACACCTCCCTTACCGAGATAGATGTCCTAACGGAAATAATGCCTTGGTGGACTAATTTTGTTCTTTCCACCTTGGTATAGACTTGGGGATATTGCTAGGCGCTAAGTATAAAAATGGCAATGGTTTAACATCGGAATTAGCCCTTAATGAAATAAGGAATGAAATGTGAAAAGAAATGTCTTGAATTACATTATGGAAATGGTTCAAAAGATATGTTTTTAGAAAATGAAATGTTTTGATGAAAAGGGAATAAATGTTTTGGGGTTACAAACCTACATAGCTCACGAGACATTATTGTCTTACATATCTATTTTTAATGTCATATATCTTAGGTTACACTTAAGGATAAAGGATGATAGATGGAAGTTAGAAGTCAAGTGATGGAGAACAGAGTGAAAGTTGTTAAGTTCCTTGTTAATTGTATTGAAGTAATTCTCATTGACTTGTTACGGTTTTATTAATGCATAATGGTAACACCCAATGTTTTAATTTGTAAATGTTTTTATGGGACCGGGTTTTGTTAAATATGAGTTAAGACTCGAATATTTTTAAAACCATATCTTTGGTGTGTTACACATTTTGTGGGAGTGTTCTTCGTTAATTATTTTTTTAATTTTTCTTGTAAATTTGATATTTGAATCTACAAAAGATATAATTACATGTGAATATCACATTATGTAATCATATGTAAATCTTTTATTATATAATAACATGTGAATCTTACATGATATATACATATGCATTTTGTGGTGTTCTTGCATTGGAAGAATTTGTTCAAAATATTAAAGAGGTGAAAATTGATAAATTGAAGAAAAAATGGAAATCTTTACTTGAAGAAATGAAAACGTCTCTAAATTTTGTAGGATTTTTCGGTTTTTTATAGTTTATTTTGTATCGAATAAAATATTTGTAGTATTGTATTTATAGATTACTAAATAAAAATAAGTTTTTTTATTTTATAATTTAATTATGAATATTATAGTACAAGAAATATGTATATATGCACTTGAAAAAATATGCATATATGCACCTGGATCGTTGATTTGTCGTTGATTTGTTTTGGTTAAAACACATATATTTTTTTTTTTAAATATTCTACTTTTTTTTTAATTTACTAGTTTTTAAAAATTTACTATTTTTAAAAAATTTGTATTTTTTTAAATCATGTTTTTTTTTTAATTTAAATTTGCATTTTTAAAAAAATAAAAATTATTATTTTTATAAAAAAATTCCAAAACTTGATTTATTATGTTAATTGTTAGATATTTTTATTAATATTCCTAATAATACAATAAATTAAACATTAAATAAGATTTGTAAGATAACGATCATACCCTTAATGAGTTAATTTTGATCTTACGTTCTAACTTTAATTCGTAGGTTCTCATGAATATATGAGTTAAATTTGATTTATTATGATAACTAGTTATAAGACTCGTATATTGTAGGAGTTGATTAAAACAAAATATTAAATACGAGTGAGTAAACAGGAAGTTTATTTAGATTTGAAATTTGAAATAAGTGAAAATTATGTGATTTTTTTTTTAAAAAGCATGTGAAAAATAAATAAGTTAACATTATATGTTTAGTTTTCAAACTCGTGTACCAAACAAACAGGTTAATTATAACAAAATATTAGATACGAAGGTTTAAACTGTAATTTATTATAAATTTTAAATTTTAAATTAATGTAGTTATTATTTTATATTAAATTTATGGAAACTAAATTAGTGATATATTGAAAAATAAAAAATGAAATAAGTGCCAAGTTGAAAATAAATATCTCAAAATTATGATAAAATGACATATGACCAATTGAATGAGAGAAAAAACATTTGGCACAGTGAACCTTTATTTATTAGTAAAGATCTTTCTACGAAATCCACATGAATCAACCTTAGAGCTCAACTTTAGACCTTACACTATTCAACAATTGTTAAAACATATACATATTTTAAGTCTCTATGATAGGTAATTATCATAAATCAAATGTATTATGACTGACAATTTGATTTTGTGGTTTTTCAAATTTTAAAGGGGTCTTAGATGTAGATAAGCAATAAAAATTAACACTAGGAAACACACACATTCTTCAAGAATACACGATTACATTCCATCGAACAAAGCAAATGGTTTTTCTTGATTCCAATTGAAAGAAACAATCCATTTCATTCATGTTATTCAAAATATTTGTACAATGCTCCATTATCAAAATACATTCCATCCAATTTGATGTAGTTTATCAGTATTTTCAATACCATCCCTAAAAAAAATGGTAACTTCTTCAACTTGTCGGAAATACCTTGTATGCTTATTTTACACACATGCAAATATTAGGCTATACATTCCCAAAATATAATCTTGTGGTTGTGTCATTAATTGTACAAGAAATGAAATGCTTGATACTTGGAAAGTTCTACAGCAGCTTTCACATTTACGAAATCTTTCACTTGCAAGGAAGATGATAGGTCATCAACAGAGAAAAACATGCTGCATTTGAAAGTGTAGATTGTTAATTTGTAATATTATTAGATTATGTATGAAGAATTGTGTTTGAAATAACACTAAAGTAAAATCTATTGAACTTATAAATGATGGACATGTTGGTGATTTTAGTATTACCATGTCATTTTAGTATATAACACAATTTTCAGATTCCAATAGGAGTTTAATTCTTGTTTTTAGACAAGTTAGGAGGTGCAGAGTACATTCTTGTATAAACAAGTTTGATCTTGGTTCAACCAAATGATAGGAGTCAAGAGGGTTATGCCACTTTGAGGGGTCCTATGGGTAGCACCCCTGGCAGGTCCAATCAGCGAATTGGACGAAAATTAATTTTGTTAAGGAAAGTATTATGAAAAATATTAATTTCAGATTCTAATATTGATTGATCTTATATTTGGTAATGCTCACGGATCTTATATTTAGTAATGTTGATTGATCTTATTAATTTTATATTACTATCCTTGAAACTGTCATCCCTTGTTAATGAGATAAAATCAACATGTAATGTTGATTGATCTTATATTTGGTAATTAGAAGAATTTGAATTCTAAAAAACCCTAGTTTGTGGTTTCCTACCAGTGCCTTGATACGAAACTGTGACTTGAACAATTATCCCCATTATTCGGATTTCGTGTATCCCAAACATAGGGTTGAAATATCGTATTTGGAAGTGATCACACAATCCTTCAAGAACATCCAAGTTTCACATCGATTTCAAAAACCTTATTCTCCTCCCAACCCAACCCTAACAACTGAATCTGATATTTGTTTCGGTTTTTTGAAATCAAGAATGAATCAGTGAAAGAGATGACGTCCAAGCTCTACAAGTTGGAGAAATTATAGGGAAACGACTTATGTCGTTTCCAGAATAAGATGCTCTTTCTACCAATCTGAAGGTGGTTCATTATATGAGCACTCATGCACTAGAAGCACAAAAAGATGAGATAGTGGAGCAAACCAGACGTCGTTACAAGTCGGAGAACGATGACTACATCACTGAGGATGCATCTAGATAGAAATTTCTAATTAGCAATTTTAATCACTATAAAATGGTAGACTCAAGTGTTGAAAATAGGTGTCAAATGCCATAACTAATTTTTATAACTTTGGTAATAAAAATAACAAATTCCTTTTAGGACTGCCCTCAAGAGCTAAAATAGCCAAACGAAATTAAGGGAATGAGATTAGTAGTTCATTAATTTATTACAAGTTAATAAATTAACTAGAAACTAGTTAGAATTAATTGGAACTAATTAGAATTAATCTATATTTAATTAAAGGTGCATGGACTAAATGTTAATTGTTCAATAATTGAACAAGATGAGCATTCTAGAAACCCTAAGAGGGTGGATGGTTTTGGAGAGGCTTTAGGAGCTTCTAGAACCGACACAGGTAATAGATAATGATATGATTTGAATCATGATTAAATTTGATTATTTAATTGATTTAAATAAGCTTTATCTGCAACTTACATCGACTATATATAAAACCCTCTAGCCTTTATGAAGTTTGATTGAACCTCCTGGAAGGCTAAGAAATTCAGTTCTCAATGTCCTCTCTCCTCTCACCTAAACTTTTTATGGTTTTAAACTTTTGGATGTGAGCCAATAAAGGCATTCCTACTTTGGGTGTTGGTACATGAGGATGGGAATTACATGTATGATCATGAAGTGTGTATATTATTAATAAGTCCTTTGAGAAATTGTAAGGAGGTACTTTATTTTTATATAATTAGGAATGGATTGGGAAATTTGGTTTAATAATAGTGCCAGGAGTTTTGTAATTAGACATTTTATTTGAACTTAAGTTTATGTTATCTCTAGGTATTCAAATAGGTTGAAGGATTCAATTATTAAAACACCATAGTTCTTGAATATTTGGAATGCGTACTATACTAATATGCAAATTCAACCGGTTTGATACTTTAATGTGAAAGATCTAGTATTCTCAATAATCATATTAAAATGATACTGCTAATTAACATATGATACTAATGCATCATACTAACAACTTGATTTAATTGATTATTTATTAGAAATTGATTTTAATAAATATTCAATAAAGTCTTATAATTAAATTGGAAGTTATTTATTTCTAGGAAATAATAATTTTCATTAGCAAGTAACATTATATAATTCATATGGTAGGAATTAATAAGTTATGTACAATATTTTGGACTAGATAAATTCTTTTGTCTTTTACCAAAAAGTTAAAGTTTATATTTTATAAACTTGTTTTATAAAATAAAAAAGTTTCGTCTTTTTCCTTTTATTATTTTTTGAAAATAAGAGTAAAAAAGGATGAGTATGGCTTTTAACATAGTTAATATAAAGTAATGGCAAGTCTTACAAAGCATGGGGGGACAAGCATGGTCTAGTGACATGAGGACTTAAGAGGTTAAGAACTTATGTGTAAAAGAATCACTTTATGAAGGCTTTCATGCCTTCCTTTTGAGTGGAATCAAAACCGTAACATGCATATGATATGCATGCTCTATCCATTTTGTAAAAGACTTTTGAGTTTACTTACTTGCATTTATGCTCTCTTGAAGTTCATATTCGTTATGAACTTCAAGCTTAAGAGTTAAGAGTTTTAGCCTAGCATCTACAACAAGTTGGCTTCTTGTTGATGTCTCTAAACTTCATCATTCGTCATCAACTTCCAAGCCTTCCAAGAGGATCTAAAGAACTACAAAGGTTGCTATTTGTTCTTCTTTATCTTTGGTTGTGTTTGTTTTCTTTCCAAACTTTGCAAGATGATCGTTGGTGGGTTTAACTTGTTTATGTTATTCAAAAAATGATCAAGTCTTCCGTTGCTAAATATAATGTTTTTGAAACTAGTTTTTGAATAAAAACCAACATAATGTATGTATAATTTTGGTAAATTCTTATTATTGGTTTTGTAGATCCTTGGTTATACTAAAATGGAGGATGATTGTTGGTGATTTTATGTCAACCCCCTAGGAGAGATACACATTTTCAAACACCATGGTACCGCTAGGCCTAATGCCTTTTGATATAAAAATACTATAGTGGATATTATTTCTTTTATCACACGTCTTGTTTTCTCTTAGACACATATAACAAAATAAACCGTGAACATAAAATTCTTATAGTCACAAGTTATTTCGGTTATCAAAACTATTGTTTACCTTTAGACGAAAAAGAAATTGAACCATGAACATAAAATACTTATGGTGATATGTTTTTTTGTTTTATCATGACTATTATCTACTTCTAGACGCATACAAAAAAAAATTACCATAAAGTTCTTTTAGTCAAAAAGTTATTTCAATGAACATACATATGCTTTACTTTTAGAACATATAAGAAATTAAACGGTGACCATAAAGTACTTATTATCATGTGTTTTTTTTCTTGTCATCAATAATGTTTTAGAAAAACATAATAAATTAAAACGTGACCATAAAATAAGTATACTTGCATGTTATTTCATTTATCATGACTATTGCTTAATTATAGACTCATAACTTATTAAACAATGATCATAAAATAATTATAGTTAAATCGTTTTTTAATTAGCATGAATTTTTTTTTTTTTAGTTTTAGAGACATACAAAATTGAACCGTGGCCACAAAATATTATCACATTTTATTTCATTTATCATGAAAATTATTTATTTTTAGACACACATAACATATTATAGGGTGAACATAAAAGAACTATAAACCCATGTGTTTTCTTTTATCATGAAGATTAATTACTTTTAGACACAAATTAGAAATCAAATCATGACCATCAAAAACTTATAGTCAAAGATTATTTCTTTTATCATGATTATTGTTTACTTTTAGACATCCATAACAAATTAAACCGCACCCATAGATCTTTTTATAGTCACAGGTTATTTTTTTTATCATTATTATTGTTAGTTTTAGACACATATAAAAACTAAATTGTCACCATAAAATCCATATAGTCACAAATTATTTCAATTATCAAGAGCATTGTTTAGTTTAGGACACCCATAAGAAATTACATTATGACAATAAAATTCTTATAGTTATTTTTTTTTCTGAAACTATAACTATAAGATACTTAAATTCATGTTTTCCTTTTTTTTTTCATGAACATTTTTACTTTTAGACACAAACAAAAATTAATATATATATATATATATATATATATATATATATATATATATATATATATATATATATATATAATCACATGTTTTAACTTTTATCATGATTATTGTTTACTTTTAGAAACACATGACAAATTAAACGATGACCAAAATAGTTAAGTTTTTTCTATAATGAATATTATTTTCTTTAAGGCAAATATATTAAATTAAACCATGACCATAAACAACATAGTCATAGTTTTTTAATTTATCATGACTATTCTTTAATATTGTAGACACATAAGAAATTAAACTTTGACCATATAATACTTATAGTTACAAGTTTTTCTTAATTTTACCATGTGGCTAATAAATTCAACAAAGTGATATTGTGATTGGTATTTTAATAATTATTGGATTTGTATTTGAAATATTGATTTCGAATTAGCATTTTAGATACTATGAAGTATTTGGAAAATTTGTACATTTGAAACCATGATTTCAAAGTAATGTTTTGTTTTGGTATTAAAGGACAAATGCCTTATGTTAAACTAATGGTTTTACAAAATGCCGGGAAATGAATTATATATGTTCTAAAGGACAAATGCCTGATGTAAAACTTATGTTAAACTAATGGTTTTACAAAATGCCGGGAAATGAATTATATATGTTTTGTGTCAAAACCTATGTATAAAGTATACCATGAGAAGATTTTTATCAAATGTATACTATTTTATTTTAATGACATGCACTTAGATACCAAAGACAAGTTATAGTAACTTAGTTTCACTAGCATGGGTTTTTTGGAATTAAAAGACTTCACACATAGATGTTATAAGTGGAAATCACAATTTTTGTGCTTTGACATGTAATGTAATATATAGTTGTACGTTTCTGTTTTCGTATGGTTTGTAATATTAATTGCAACCTTCTTTATGGATTTGATAACTAAAATGTTTTTTTGGAACAAATTTTGTAAAAATTGTAAAATACATTAATTCAATTATATCTAATTTTCGTGTTTTATAATGATAAGAAAGTTTAAGATGTTAGTTATACCTGGAACTATCTTCTAGATGAAAAGAGTTACTTGTAGCACCATCAGAATCCTTTTCCATGAGAATCTTCATGCTTGAAATATCCTAGACAAATATATCATAATCACAAGCTAATTCATATATCATATAGCGCAATTAGTTTAGTTTTGTACAGATAAAATTCCACATATAACACTTACATCTGCGGATACAATCTCAGTGCCATCCTTTTCATCCCAACTAAGAGTGCATGTTCTATTCACCTGATCGATGCGTATAATCTAGAAATAAATAGTGTCAAATAGATATTGATAGTGGAAGAGAGCACAAATGTATTATATCATTGTCCATATCAATAAATATCCATAAAGCATGAAACTCATGTTTTCTTTAGAAACAATTACTCATTTTGGAAGGTGGCTGTTCATTACTATTTGAAAATTTTACTAAGTTTATTATGGCATTTAGATGTATTGTTTTAGTATATTCCTCAATCCTCATCTTTTGTGAATATGGATGCGAGGAAATACGGGAGAAAAATGGTCAATTTCATAACTTTTGTATTACGACTATCATTCACAACTCTAGCTTGATTTCTATTGGTATAGCCTATAACACCATTTTCTTCATTACTTCTGACATACACCAAACCATACATACTTAACCCTTTTATGTACCTTAAAATATGTTTCATGACTTTTAGGTGTTCAAATGTTGGTTTCTCCTAGAGATGGCAAAAGAACCCGTACCCAACGGGTACCCGAAACCCTAACCCGAGTTGACCGGGGAACGGGGATGGGTATTATCCGAATATAAAAAGCGGGGATGGGGATGGCGATGGTTTTACCTGTCGGGTACCCATACCCGAAACTGAAACCGACCCCGATGGGTACCATATATATATATATATATATATATATATATATATATATATATATATATATATATATATATATATAGTATTATTTATGTTTTTACTTTTAATAATGCATAAGCAAATGTTCATTAGACAAAATAAAGTTTTCTAACAATCAAACGTATGGTTTTGGGAAGACTTTTTATGTCTTTTTTTTTGCAAAGAATGATTTAATTTGTAACCTTGAATGTTATTATTCGCGTTTGAAGACATTCAGTGATTATAGTGTTATATATTAGTTCTGTTAGTTTTTGTTTTGTTGGTTAATATATAATTATGAGTAATTTTTCATAAAAGTTCAAAACTTTGTAACGGGGAAAAATCCCCGATACCCATTGGGGATGGAGAACACAAAACCCGGTATACCAGTACCCATTGCCATCCCTAGTTTCTCCATGAAGCGACTAACCATTCCATCTGAGTATGCAATATCTATTCATGTTTGTGTTAAGTAACTTAGTCCGCTAATGATAATTTTGTATAAGGACAAAACAACATGTTTTCTTCAGTCAACAAACTCAAGCTTCTTCTGAAGCCAGCGGTCTAACACCAAAGGATACACAAAATTGTTTTGAAAGAATATTGGTTGTTCGACGACGTCATATCAGAGGCATCGGGCGTAAACCTACGGTTATGTCAATGTATGATCAGGGACAACCACTAATGCAACCACCACCACAATCACAGGTGACAAAACTATTTCATTTTGGTAATTGTTTGAAATGTTGGTAATTGTCGGTTTAGTAATAGTTTAAAATGTTGGTAATTGTTAGATTGATAATAGTTTATATGTTGGTAATTGTTAGTTTGGTTATAGTTTGATATATTGGTATTATTGTAGTTTGGTAATTGTTTTTATGAAAGTACAATGTTATAATGAAAAAAATTATAAAAATAAAGTACAATGCCATAATGCGTTATATGCAATATGTGTAGTTTGGTAATTGTTAGTTTATGAAAGTACAATGCTATAATGGTATTTTGTAGTTGCTAATTGTTAGTTATAATACAATGCTATAACGTGTTATATGCAATATGTGTAATTTGGTAATTGTTAGTTTATGAAAGTGTAATGCTATAATGGTATTTTGTAGGTTGGTAATTGTTAGTTATAGTACAATGCTAAAATGTGTTATATGCAATATGTATAATTTGGTAATTGTTAGTTATTGTACAATGCTATATTTTGTACTTTGTTTGTATGTGGAATATGTATATTTTGTATATAGAATGTTATAATATTGGTTTAACTTATAAAACTATGTTGTTTTATTTGTAGTTGGAAATGCTTCAAACAATGTTAAACGATTCGGCATGTAGTGCCGCACTTGAAGATTGGTTTCGATCGTTGCCACAACGAAATGAAACCGGAGAAAACGAGGAGAGCGATGATGATAAGTAGCTAGTTGTAGGATTTTTGTATGTTTTATTTGTGTAAGTATTTTAGACTATTATTTTCTATATTTTGTATTATGTTAAATTGGATTAGTATTTTAAACGGATGTTTGATTAATATTTTGGAATGGAAGGATGTAGTAATAGCTTAATTAATATCATAGCAGTTTTTATACTTTTTATACGGTTTTTTTCAATTTTAATGTGAAATAATAATAAAATATAAAAAAATACCAATACCGGCGACGCCTTTAGTTGCGACAGTCGGTTATTAGCAGCGACACTACTTTGGCGGCGACATATGGCATTAGCGGCGCCAACATTTTGATTATCAGCGACAAAGCATCAGTGGCGACCTTTTAGCAACGACGAGACGCCGCTAGTACTATTAGTAACGAGAAACGCTATTTTTAGCGGCGACGTTTGTCTCTGGTAATACTCTAATTTCTTGTAGTATCTCTTCTGCTGTATAGAATACAAAAGTTTCTAGAACATTATGAGGGTTTTGTGGCACACCAATGTCTTCATATGAGTCTTAGCGATATTTTTCGGTTTCAGCAATGATGGTTTTATCAAACTATAACACTTCAAAAGTAAAAGTTACATTTGGTGTTACCTTGATCTTTTTCTCCTTCCCCCACTCCCACATCTTTTTTTCTCTTTGAAAATTTAAATCTCTGCTAACTCGAATTAACCCTATGTCAGGATCAAGGAACTTGCAATCTTTCCTTTCATGCCTTTCTCAACCTCTAACTAAAGTAACTAGAATCTTCTCGTTTACTCAAGTACCTCCTGGTTACTCTCACATGTGGGATGCAACCAAACACTATCAAGTGTTTATAGGTCAACTTCTAGTCCACACTTCATATGATGTAACTTCCTTTAGATCTTTTATGGTTACTCGATTATTTATATATATATATATATATATATATATATATATATATATATATATATATATAGGTTAACTTCTAGTCCACACTTCATACGATATAACGTCCTTAAGATCTTTTATGGTTACTCGATTGAGTAATTAAATACTTTTATGTTTATATATATATATATATATATATATATATATATATATATATATATATATATATATGTATATATATAGACACACACACACACACACAGAGGGAGAGAGACTTACATAAAATAGATCATTACTGATTTCATCGCATGATATCCCATGCATTCGAGGTATTGCCTGAGGATCATAAAAATATTGTATAAAGTTGACTTATATATCAATGAAGCATTGAAAAAGTAGAATTTGAAATTAGAGAAAATGAAAAAAAAAAAAAGTTTGTTTAATAACGATGGAAGAAAACTATACTAAATGCTATAGGTACAACTTAGTTGGAAGAACATACCAAGAACCCAATAGCTTGTCTAACATGGGTAAGTTCTTCCCATGCCGAACCTGCATACTATAATATAACAAACAATTTAGATGATAGTTGAAATGCTACTAAGTACACAAAATAAGGCTTAACTAATTGTATTAACAAAGAGTTACTTGAACAATCAATAGTTGAAATGCTACCAATTACAATCATTTTAGGTGTGTATTTTCATGATGAAACTGAGAAAGTAGATAATAAAAGTATTCGTGACTTACAAAAATGACATTTATTATTTCTCTTAAAAAAGAGCGTTAACATTATTTCATTATGAAAATAAATAATATCAACGTACACTAAAATATCATAACAATCTTTTAGTGTAAACATTTTTTTACGCACATACATAGGCATACGTATGCATGTGTATATGTGCATATGTGTATATTTACATAGGTATATTTTATATATGTGTATATGGAGAAAAGATTGAATGAGAAGGAAAAGAGCATGAGATTACATGTAGTTTTACCAAATATTTTCTGGGAAGATTTGTTAAGTATGTTGACATGTTTAATTAACTATTGACCCTTAGTTACCCTAGGGTTCCTGATTATAAAGGAGGAATGCCAAGGTCTAAAGATATTTTTACATAATTGAAAGTATTTTCTTGTGTCCCTTACATCAACATGAAGGATGCAGATATAGACAAAATAATGTAAAGGAAAAAAAAAGTGCACCTCCATTAGCTATAATTTAAATGAAATGGGTTATCGTTTCTAATATAACCACAACAAAAGGTTTTCAGAAGTCGATATTTCACATTTATTGAGAGTAGAAGTATGAAACCAAAAAATAAAAATCAAGTCGTGTTTGAGGAGATCCCATGAAAAGATATTATAGAGGAAGTGGAATTAAAAACCCTAACGACTAGAAGATCAACTAAAGAAAGGACTCGAGTTAAGATATTCTTTATAAAATAATTACATATTGTCCAAAGGGCTTTTAGCCTAACAGTATCCTTCCCACCACCCCCTCACGAGGTTGAGAGTTCAAGTCACGTCTAAGACATAATGAAATAAGAGATTATACGAGTAGATTAGATTTTCCGTTGCAAATTTTTTTTACTTATTAATGACTTAAAATAAGGAACATGTTAGGAAGTAAAGTAGATAAAACACGTAACCAAAAGCACATAAGACACAATATTTACATCGTTCGGTTAAGGTGACCTACATCCACAGACAGAAGGGGAATATTATTTATTTATGAGTTCTCAGAGGTTACAAGTACAATTCAACAGATATTCGTCTATCATTATAGAATTAGAGACACTAAACAAATAACTACTAGACATCCCTATTTATAGAGAAGGGATCACACGTAAAACCCTAATAGACCAAGCCCATTAATCTATAGTGTCATGAAAGGTGTCAACGAATCACAACACCATGTAGTACCTTTTGGAACCTTCATCCTTGATATACGTTACATAAGCATCAGCAATACACATGATGGACCATCATGATCCATAGTGGCTCATCATGATGCAAGATTGGCTCATCAACCATCATGGTGACGCATCATGTAATATTCATTGAGCATCTATAACTTCTAAGCATCAATTTGGACAATCTTGAGCATTATAGAGTGCATCAAAGCATAAGTGGCTCATCAAGGGATGTCATGGCTCGTCAAGGAACCATATGGCAAACCCTTGCACCAAGATGACGCATCTTGTGCCAGCGATGGTACATCCTCTTGAAGGGTGGTGCTTCTACACCCTAAATGGCGCATCAAGCTTTGAGGTTAGCACACTCTCTCCTAAATGACACATTATGCTTCAAGGGTGGCACATCTTCCTTCAAAGTGGCACACCTTGGCAATAAATGGCACACTTGTTTCCCAAGGTGGTGTATCCTCATCATGGATGGGGCACCTTCTTCCAAGATGGTGCATCCATGCACCGGATGGCGCATCTTCATCATGGATGGCACATCTATGCTCCAAAGTGCTCAATTCCCTTATAAAGGTGCTCTATACCAAACATGTTATCCAAAAAACCATGGATCCTTGACTTTGGAGCATCAACTCACATGACCTTCTACTGCAGAAAATATGCCTTCTACTGCAGAAAATCTTTCCTCCAAAGAGAATTTGTCTTTTATTTCTAAAAATCAATCTCCTATTTTAGAAAACCAGTCATCTATTTCCCCTCAACTCAACAAGTTTCGTGTCTATACTAGACGAAAACGAAGTATCCAAGTAAATACCAACGTACAAACGAGCATTCATCATGATCCTAAGTCGAACACCCCACCTAACAAAAAATCACAAGGCATGAGTTCCAAAAATGAACATGCTTCCACACCTATGCTTGTACTTGTACTAATCTCCCAATTGAAAGATATGTTGCATATGGAAAGCTCCATCCTTCCTATAAAGCATTTGTAACAAATCTTGATCAGACACACATCCCAAGGTCCATCTCCGAAGCACTCTGAATCCCAAAATGGGAAAAGGCAATTGAAGAAGAAATCTGAGCACTTGAATCCAATGGCACATGGACACTAATTGATCTGCCTAAAGGAAAAAGTCTGGTTGGTTGCAAATGGATTTTCACGCTAAAATACAAGTCTGATGAAACTATTGAAAGATTTAAGGTAAGGTTGGTGGTTAAAGGCTTCAAAAAATCCTATGGTATTGACTATCTTGAGACTTATGCCATGTTGCTAAATTGAACTCTATTCGAGTCCTTCTGTCATTAGCAATCAACCGGGAGTGCTTATATCAATTTGACATTAAAAAAATCTTCCTTAATGGTGAAGTTGAAGAAGTTTATATGGAAATACCACCTAGATTTGAAAATTCAGGAAAGAACAAGGTGTGTAAACACCACAATTATTTTACGGACTCAAAAAATCTCCTTGTGTGTGGTTTGGGAAGTTCACAAAGGAAGTCACTTCTCAAGGTTATATATACAGGGACACCTTGTTCATCAAGAAAGGTTCACATGGAAAAAATTTATTCACATTGTCTATATTGATGACATCATCCTAACAGGAGATGATTCTGAGGAGATAAAAAGGTTGAAATAATTTCTTGCCTCAAAATTTGAAATTAAAGGCCTTGGAAATCTCACGTACTTCTTAGGCTTGAAAGTAGCTCGATCCAAGAAAGGGATTTTCATTTCTCAACCAAAATATATCCTCAATCTTCTCATTGAAATTGGTTTCTTGGGAGGAAAACCTACTCAAACTCCCATGAATCCCTCAAGAACTTCAATTTTAGTGAAGAAAGGTCTCCAGTGAACAAAGAACGATATCAAAGACTCATTGGCAAACTAATCTACCTCTCACATACTCGACCTGATATTGCTTACTCTGTTAGTATCAACATATGAATGACCCAAATGAAGATCATCTTGAAGATGCTCATGGAATTCTAAGATACCTAAAAATGACTCCAAGAGTTGGTTTGTTATTCAAGAAAAATGACACCACAGACATCAAAGTCTACACTGATGCCAGCTGGGCAGGAAAAGCCACATATCAAAAATCAACTACAGGTTATTGCTCATATGTATGGGGAAATCTTGTAACTTGGAGAAGTAAAAAGCAATCGATAGTTTCTCAAAGCAGTGCTGAATCAGAATATCGAGCACTTGCCTTGGGGATTTGTGAAGGAATGTGGTTGCAAAGACTCCTTGACGACCTTGGTGTTAAAAAATGTGAACCAATTTTGATGTATGTTCTGTGATAGACAACCTGCTATAAGTATCGCAAAAAATCCTGTCTACCATGATCGTACCAAACACATTGAAATTGATCGTCACTTCATCTCTGAGAAAGTTGAACAACGCATTATTCAACTGAACTATATTGCTTCACAATACCAGATTGCGGATATTCTTACCAAGGCGGCTATTCCACGGACTAATTTTGATGAATTAAATTCCAAGGTTGGATTGTTTAACATTTACAACCATGTATATATTTTATGATATCCTTTTCTGTCAACAGTTGTGTTTTAGAATAGATTTAAGGAAATTATTGTGTATTTATTTCTTCCTTACTTAGATAGGATTAGCAAATATCTTTTCCCTGATTTTATGGTTTCCTTTTTCTGGTTTCCATCTTATATATGTAGCCTCTTTTTTGGAAAATAAGGTATTCATAAATTCTTCATCATATCTACCATATTTCTACAGAAAAAAAGAATTACACATGTATGTATTTAGGGTTAAAGATGAAGTCAATACAAGCAAGAGGTACAAGGTCAGATTGTTGATGTCATCTTACTAGCTGGATCCGACATCCGACATACAGGAGGTCAATAGATTGAAGTAGTTATCTAAATGTGAAGGATAGAAGCACGCCTATAGGGAGTCATCTGAGACTCTCAAAAACCATTCACCAAAGACGAATGAAGACAAAGAAGAAAATGTTAAAGTTCCTTATGCCTTAATATATGGAGTTTTATGTATGTTATGATATCGACTAGGCTAGATATTGCTTATGGAGTGAGATCTGTCAACATATTCATGTCAAATCTGAGAAAGGATCATTGAGAACGAGTTAAGTTCTTTTATGTTACTTAAAAAGAACTTCTAGGGTAGCCCTATGTTTTAGAAGAAAGAAGGTAGTCTTGGAAGGTTTTGTTGATGTAGATTTAAGAGGTTGGGTAGATTTATGGAAAAGCAAAACAAGTTTCATGTTCACCATTAGAGGTACAACTACAACTATTAGGTGGATGTCCACATTACATGAGACTGTTGCTCTTTTAACCACATAAGTTGAGTACATAGCTATAGCATAATATATCAAGAAGCTTTTAAAGATCCTCTGATCTGAGTTAGACATGGAACAAGAAGACCATTCCCTACATTGTGATGCCCAAATTGCACTTCACTTTACGATAAGATCAACCTAAAACTTGTGCATACTACAGCTCATTTTATCTAAGATTAATTCCACCACATCCAACTTTAAGACAAGATGTAGAAATCAAGCATAAATATACACAACACATGAAATTTCAGAATAAAGCATTACCTCTTTTACCTGAGAACACCATAGCTCCAACTTTGTTAAACCAGCTTTCACATATTCCACGTTGCTCAAGCTACAACACTCCCCATGAAGAAGAAGGCTGCAGAGTGAAGATAATTGCAAAAGAATACTTGATGATAGGAAACAAAGAAAATTATAGGAAAAAAAAGGAAGTCGAGTAACCTATTGAACAGTTGCACATTGATATATGAGAAATTTTGAGAAAATATCTTCTGCACAATTATGGGAGGCACCTGAAATGAAATTAGATGAGAAAATTTAGCAAAATATATCCAACAATTGAAATCCACTTTGACACAATTTTTTAAAAGTTTGGTGATGTTTGTATAACCGAATCATTGTATCTATGTAATTTATCTGTCAACATATGTCTTATATTTTCTGGAAAAAGCACTGTGCCAGGTATAAGAGGTCATGTATAATGCACATACAAAATTGTCTTTCAATATGTGGAGAAGAGCGTTGAGACGATCAACAATGCCTTGCCAGTTACTGAACTGAAAATCTTTGTCAAAGGACTGTACAGATTTTATCACTCCCTTGGATGTTTGTAGAGTCTGCATTTTGACATATATAAACAGATATATATGCATCATAGGTAATATGGGAAGTCAATTAAATATAGGAATATGATTGCATGGTTATAAGTAAGGATATGATTGCATGGTTATAAGTAAGGATGTATAGAAGGTCAACTACCTGAATACACAAGGCGAGTAATGCTTCCAACTCCTTTTTCAAATTGTCACAAATAATGCCATACATTTTCTCTACAAATATTGTTAATTTTTGCACGAAAGCATAGGCTGGGTATTTGGCTTCAACTTGTTGTACTACGTTGAGTGCAGCCTCAGCCTCAGAAAGGTCAACAGAATGAAATCCCTAGATATATAAGTAGAAAAGCACATCATGGAACATAAATATATAAGCTGAAAAGACAAAACCAATATAAAAAGATTGAAAACCAATACCATTGGATTTCTTCCAGATAGGGAAGTTCCAGGTGGTTGTTCTGGAACTGAACTTGCACTATGATGTTTTAGACTTTTTTGGACTAAGAATAACAGAGTAGATACATTTGATAACCAAAACGCTATCTGGTTGTTGTTCTTTTGACCCTGAAATTAGGTGAACCTTTGTTTCAATTGAAATAATTCAATAAATTAATGTTTTCATTTTTAAACTGTAAGTTGCAAATCAAAAGAATAAATACTAAGAGGACATAAAATAAGGATGATTCAGTTGAGGAAATCTCAATTTAGTTTTAATTTAACTCCATTTACCCAAAGGGGAAAAAATATCCACCTACACACAAACACAAGAAGAGGGCAAATTGACTGAAGATATATATATATATATATATATATATATATATATATATATATATATATATATATATATATACATATATGTTTTGGTTGGAGGGATAATAATTCTCTTATGTCCTTTGTTTCTTGTATATGTTATAGAGTAGATCTGATAATTAGATATGACAAGATTGATGTTAACAGGTAAGGAATATCTATTGGCCTTGAAAGAACTTATCTAGATAGTGCTTTGTTCACCATTGTCTAAGGAATTACCTCGGTTGATGAAATAATAATCTGAACAATTTGATCAAATAAGGTTGTTTTTTCTTCTTCAAAATATTTCCAATGGAGAAGGCATTTGTATAGGGTAAATGCTGAAACAGGTTTGCCATGACTGAATCTTTTGTCTTCCATAACACACTCAATAAGGATAGCAACACTATCCTGCAGAGAGATTCAAACTCATATCAACAATATAAATCAAATCCTGTAATAAGAGAAAATAAGGACAAACAAATGATATCTGGAATCAGAATATTTCACATTTAGTTCTAATCCTATAATTCCCTTAATTTCTTGTAGTAGTTTTTCCCGTTCTTGTATTATTTGAATTTCTATGATGAATGATAGTTTTCATTCTTGTATATGAAACTAGATTTCCATAAAAAGGACTTACATGAATACCAAATGCTTCCTCAATCCCCATAACGACTGTGTCCATCAGAGGGCGATCTGGTAAACTGAAACTAACGCATTGATAAGCAATTTGTGTAAACTTATCAAAAGAACGACTAGTAATAAAGTCTTTAATATCGGGATCAATTATCTTATGTAGTTCGTTGTGATGGTATCGGCGGACGAAATGCATCAGAGACTGTGGCCTGTCATTTGTTTTCAAATAAACCAACATCCCACTCAGCATTTCAAACATCACCACCCCAAACGAGTACACATCTGATTCTTTACGGAGGATGGCACTTTCATGGTAAGTGGGATCCAAGTAAAACAGGGTACCCGCAGCTTTTGTGTAAACTTGGGTTTCTGATTGATTTCTTGGGCCAACTCTTGACAAGCCGAAATCACAGATTTTTGCAACAAAATTGTCGTCTAGCAATATGTTAGCACTCTTGACGTCTCTGTGTATTACTCTGTTGTCCTCCCCAAGACCCGAGTGAAGATAACTAAGTCCTCTTGCTGCCCCTATGCAAATCTTCAGGCGTCGCATCCATGATAATCGATGCATCTTCTTTGGGTCTTGGAGATGATGATCAAGGCTTCCATTGTAGGCATATTCATAGACAATAATCATCTCATTCCCTTCATCACAGTAACCGATGAAGGAGATGATGTTTTCATGATGGAATCTGGAAATCATCTTAACCTCATTACGGAACTCATGCTCTCCTTGGTAGCTATCCTTATCTAGGCGTTTGATAGCAGCTGTGCGGTTTTGCCAACGCTCTGAGAGTTCTCCTCTATAGACCTTTCCAAATCCACCAACTCCAATACATCCTTTTGGACTGAAGTTTTTTGTGGCTTGGATGATCTCTTTCAGTGGGATTAGAAAACTTTTAAGGTGAAGACCTGAAAAAGACATTTGAACTATCATGAGATTCAGATTGAACTACTATATAACTTGTTGGTAATGTATTTTACAATTATTCAGAAAAATTATCCTTACCTATTGATAGGTAGATTCTACATACACTCTAATCTCATGTTGTTTCTTCATTTGGGTTTCATTTTTAAATAGTTTTCCATCATTTACATGTGCATTTTCTGCCTAAATTAATTAACAGGAAAAAAAAAAAAAAAAAAAACTACAGAATTTTTAAGCATTTATTCATTAATAAATTGTTGGTGATTTTTTAGATAATAGACAAATTTAGTTACGCAGTATGGCAATGCTATTTAAATTTCTCTAAATTTAATAATGACTTGCTATGTTGTTTTATTATATTTTTTAAATTTTGTTTTTTTTAGACTTCTAAAGCTTAAGCCTCGTGTGGCAAAGGGAAAATGCTTCCAGGCACAATTCCATATTTTTACCTTGTCCATGAGAAATGTTTATGTAACCACTTAGATGACTTATAAACATTAGCAACAAAATGTTTAAAAAAAAGTGGTACCTTCTTCATTCATTGCCCCTTGAGAAATAAGAGAATTCACATGGCTAGTTGTTGTATCATGAGATGCATCACTGTTCTTGAGTTGAGGTAGCATTTCTACAAGATTCTGATATTGTTCTGTGGATATGTTTGGAGTGGACACAATACTTTGAATACTTGATTTCACATCATCTTGCTTGCTTTTAGTAAACTTAAAATTGGCAGGGAATCCAATCAAAAGATAGCATTGGGCTTTTGAATGTCCATTTTTCTTGCATTGATTGCATGCAAGAGGCTTCTTATTTTGAATGATTGAACTTGCAACAGACATGTTCATAGTAACAACTTCATTGGTGAAACTTGAAGGTAAATTGATGTTCAGTTGTCGTTCTTCTTGAATGATCATTGAATATGCAGTAGCGACAGAAGGCAAGGGCTTCATCATCAAAATTTGACCTCTTATGACCTTGTAAGAGTCATTCAGTCCTATTAGAAGCTGAATTAGCCTTTGATCTTCGAGAAACTTATGGATTCCTGCAGTAGTTCCACAAGAACATGCAGGCAAACCTTGAACAATTCGCAATTCGTCCCACATTTTTGTTAATTTTGTGAAGTAAGAAGAAAAATCATCAGAATTTTGTGATAACGAGTAAAGTTGTTGATGAATATGATAGATCAGTGCTCCATCATATTGCTCATAGCGCTGATTGAGTTCTTGCCATATCTCATGTGCAGATTGTAACATAAGCACACTGTCGGCAATATTCTTGCTTAATGAATTTAGAATCCAACTTATTACCATAGAATTAACTCGATTCCAAGAAGAATAAGATGGTGAAGTAACAAGTGGCTGAGCTATTGTACCATCGACAAGTCCGAACTTGTTCTTGGCCAAGAGAAAAATACTTATTGATCTCTTCCACGCAGAGAAGCCGATTCCATTGAAAACATTTGATACAAGAACTAGATTTGGATTATCAGACGATCCAAGAAATAGGGGATTTGATGAGTTGAAGACATCTGGATTATCAACGGATTGAGACATATTGATGTGAAATCAATATGTTAGAAAGAAACTGAAGCGGAATTATCAATCAAACAAGAAGATCAGATAAAAAATGAATCGGAACTCACTCTAATGTTGAAGTTCGAATTTTGAGAGCAAATAGAGAAAAGAGACTTGGAGATCTTTTTGTTGCTTACCAAAGTACACGGAGAGAAGTCAGCTATATTGAGTGAAAATAAGATAGTTGGGGATTTTTCACTGGCGCATTGTTTATTGTTTATGTTTTTCTTCCGATCTCTCAGTTTTAATAAAAAAATAGTTTTGTTTTTTTTTAATATATATTGTTTTATTAGATATTTTAATTAATATATATATATATATATATATATATATATATATATATATATATATATATATATATATATATATATCCGGTAAGAAATTTTTTTTGGTAGGAAGGTAAGAAGTTTTTTTTCTACATATTTTTTTGACGAACAAAATAAATGAATCACTAGATGATTCATTTGTAAGATGATTCACAAGAAAAAATTCCCAAAAAAACATCTTTATGATTCATTTTTAAGTAAATTAAGAAAAAATTGATTTTTATGACAATTTTAGTGAATAACAACAAAATCATTGTATAAATGAATCATCGAGATGTTTTTTTGAGAATTTTTTCTCGTGAATCATCTTAAAAATGAATCATCTAATGATTCATTTTGTTTGTTCGCGAAAAAAATATGTAGAAAAAAAAACTTCTTACCTTCCTACCAAAAATTTCCTTCTTATTTGATCTTGACTCTCTCTCTCTCTCTCTCTCTATATATATATATATATATATATATATATATATATATATATATATATATATATATATATATATATATATATATTGTCATATGTGTTATTATGTCAACTAATTAATATCGGTCATTTATCAATTTATTGATTATTATTTTATAATTTAAATTTTCCACTTTATCTACATTAAACTAATAGCATTAAAAAAAATTAAAATTAAAATAACACAAATTATAAAGTGATATAATTTCATATATTCATTTAAATCAATAATTATAATTTTATATAACTAAAAAATCTCTTAATTAGTAATTTATTTAAAATAATTGATTAATAACTTTGAATTTTTTACAATAAAAATTTAATTAATATTGTAATCGTGATTTTCACAGATTATAAACTAGTTATCAATATACAACTATATAATACGACATTTAAATTTAATATATATATATATATATATATATATATATATATATATATATATATATATATATATATATATATATATATATATATATAACCCATAAAGAAATGGAGCAAAAATAAGATATTTCAGTCTAAAATGTATGTATGAATATTCAACACAAAAAAATCAAATGGTGGCTGTTGGAAACTTAACTACGGCATTCAATCTTAATTAATAGTGACAGTTGTTATTTGACATCAAATATTTTGCAGAAAGTCAATGAACGGACTTCATATACCTTCTTTTATTTAGTACTAGTTACTAGTTACTAGTTATAATGCGGCGAAACCATGAAAAAAATATGTAAACAAATAAAATTAGGAACTATAAAAAAAACGTATAGTATTCTTGATTGTAAGTAATCATTAATTAATTTGAAAAGTAAAATAAAATTAATATTTTAATGTGTTTCTTACGGTAAGTCTTATTTTGAAGAAACTTTAATAAATTTTTAATTTTTTTTTAAACAGGAAAATCCCGATTATTTAATTTTTTGAATAGAAAAACCCTAAAAAAACCGGCTAATTTATTCACTTTAGTCATGTTTGACCTTTCAGTAGATCATGGATCAAATCGTTAATTTTTCCAAAATGATATGAATTTTCTACAAATTTTCTCAAAATTTATATATAATGTATAAATGTATTTTTTTATGTATTTATATGTATTTTTACGTATTTAGCTATCATATATATATATATATATATATATATATATATATATATATATATATATATATATATATATATATAATCAAGATCAAATAAGAAGGAAATTTTTGGTAGGAAGGCAAAAAGTTTTTTTCTACATATTTTTTTCGCAAACAAACAAAATGAATCATTAGATAATTCATTTGTAAGATGATTCACAAGAAAAAATTCTCAAAAAAACATCTCGATGATTCATTTATATAATGATTTTGTTGTTATTCACTAAAATTATCATAAAATTGAATTTTTTCATAATTTACTTAAAAATGAATCATAAAGATGTTTTTTTGAAAATTTTTTCTTGTGAATCATTTTACAAATGAATCATCTAGTGATTCATTTTTTTTGTTCGTGAAAAAACTATGTAGAAAAAAAAAACTTCTTACCTTCCTACCAAAAAAAATTTCTTACCGGATATATATATATATATATATATATATATATATATATATATATATATAGGATTAGTATCAAATGTGAATTACAATTATTATGTGAATGTATGACTAAATTGTAACCATTTGATTAAAAAACATGAAGGGTTGTAATATTAGGGTACATGACATGATATTATCATGTACTAGCATTTACTATATAATACGACTTAATTAATTATATGTCATATTTTATTAAGAGAGAGAAATTTAATATTATCAATATTTTAAGCAACTAACTAAAATTAATTAATAAAAAATAAATGAGAATCTTGGATTTTATTAAATGTATTCAAATTAAATAAGATATTTTAGGAATACAACTTTCATTCAACACGTTCAAATTTATTTTTTAGTTTCAGTGAAAAGCTTTTTAGAATCAACAATCTGAAAGAATGAGAATGAATTTGTTTAAGAATAACAATATGTATCAAAATAATAATAATAATAATAATAATAATAATAATAATAATAATAATAATAATTACAAATTATAAATGCAAGAATAGACATTCTTAAAAATAAATTTGAATTATGTTAAGAATAAATGAGAATGGATGTGAAAGGGTGAGAAAATTGAGCGGTATAAAATTTCTTAAATCACAGACATTAATAAAATATAAGACTAAATTGCAGGCATCCTCAAGATATGATACAAGTGCATTCTATAAAAATTAAAAAGAAATTAATGTTAAAAATATTGTTAAAAGAATAAAATATATTCTTAAAAAGAATATGATACATTCATAAAAGGATTATGATGTATTCTTAAAGATTAAATTGAATTCTAAAAGAATACAAGTTATAAAAGAATAACCATTCTAAAAGAATATATGGAAAAGTTGGTGATGAATACGAGTTGTGTTTTGGCGGTGATGTTGTCTTGTTGGTTGTTTCTTCGTCTAAGAGGGTGTCGATGATTATTTCTCTGATCGACATCGATTACGACATGAATCATCATCATCTCCTACCATATACGTGCATAAAAATGTCATTATCAATACTTAATCATCGCAAACCACCACCATCGATCCTTGTTAATTCTTTAAGAATCATAATTTATTTTTTAAGAATCAAAAGTTATTTATTTTGTTTTGTGATTTGTTTAATTCTCACATCAATTTACAAAATATTTAACATCAATTTATATCATGTTTTCTTTTATACCTACAAAAATTTGAAACAAATTAAAGATCACTACTACTTTGAACCAAAAATAAGGAAATTCTCCAAAAATGTTTAGAAATAAACTCTTTTTATTGCTCTATCACCGGTCACAATACTCTATTATAAAATAAAATAAAAAATAAGATTATTTATTATACAATCTATTGTAAATATAAATGCATTTTTACAAGAATGTGTGGATAGTAAATATAAATACATTCTTAAAAAATGTGATCATTTACATCAAAAATAAAAAACTGCTACATAAATCCTCAAAACGAATGCATACATCATTAATTCAAGATCATTTCATAGACCCACATTTGACCTTAGGCAACCATCCTCAACAATACTTGCATATAAACCACCAAAGAACTCAGGTAGTTCATCATTTATATAGCAGTTCACCCTGCTATATAGCAGCTGTTCACCATTTATATAACTCACAAAACAAACTACAAGACCATACAAATTAAAAAAGCAACCAATTCTATAAGCAACATTTTGATTTAAAAAACATAATGCAATTGAAATCACAAACAGAGACACAAAATAATTAGATATATGTTTAATAGGAAAAAAAAAACTAAAAAGAAAGTAAAGTTATTTGACTTTGAAACTGTGTATGCCAACAATCCAAAAAAAACTACAAAAAAAAAAAAAAAAAAAAAAAAAAAAAAAAAAAAAAAACTCCAAAACAACAAACAAACAAACTCCAAAAAAAATTCTTTTATCTATGCCAACAATCCAGAAATGTCTTGTTTTGGTTAATCTGTTTGACATACCAAATGATAAAAAAAATGTTTATATATTCCTTTTATATTAATATACTCATATATCAAAATTAAACCTATTAATTTTAATAAAGTTTGTATATATATTTCATAAATATAATGATTGGACTATATTTTTCGTATTACCTTCATTGCCAACAACTCGACTAGACATCAAACCGATGGAAATTAGTTGGCAATCCTCTTGTTTAACTCGGTCTTGGCTCTCGGTACCAAACAACAAAGAAGAAAATTTCAATGGCCGATACATGTATGAGGAGTAGGAAAATTAGATGGATCATTCGTTATGGTAGGCATGAAAGGGAGGGTGAATGGCCGGTGATAAATGATTTATCCCTAAAATTATGTATTATGAATTGATTATGTTTCCAAATATATAGGGATTTAATTATATGATATTTAATTTAATAAATAAAATTACTTTAATTTCCTTATAAAATGATTGGACCATATTTGGTCATACATTCACACAATATATATATGTTATACATGATCCTATATATATATATATATATTATATATATATATATATATATATATATATATATATATAGGGTAAAGTGAATATACCTAACAACCTTATATAAGCTTAGGTACCTAACCACATCATACTACGTAATTTGTATCATATTTGCATTGTAATCACCCAAAGTTCTTAAAATTCAACCTCATAACTTGATTGCTTCCAAAATCTTTGGACTTTTACCATTATCTTCCTTCAAATGACGTCTTTCTATCGGAGACCCCCTGGTGGGCTTTATATACTACCGTTACAAATCAAATGGTATAGGACGAATATAATGGTGAATCTTTGAAAATCTTGGAAGTAAATCAAGTTAAGGGTTGAAGTTTAAGAACCTTAGACAAATGTAATAGAAATA